GGGTGTACCCGGAAAAATGTTAGACGGATTAACTAAGATCGAGTCTTCTTTCTTGAAATTCGAAAACATTTGGAAAAGAGCCGTTTATGAACAAATAGTTTTTTTTCCTTGCCTCAAAAAAGCACTTGTAGCTGCAGGTTATTCGATTCTTGTTTTTTAGCGATGCGGTCCGAATGCAGACCAGTGCCGGACTGTTGATTTGAGGATCCACGGATGGCGTCTCGTCGCCGTTCTCCTCCTCAAATCGCTCTCCGCAGTTTGGGGCCGTTGATGCGTTATAAGAGTGACAGTCAAATTCCACTATTCGGTCTGACAACCGTTGGCGGTGGGCGGTGTTGACAATTTACCTTCCCTCTAGTCAGTGAGTTCAAAATTAGAAACGTCTAATGCATATAGTAGCCCTTTGGTAGCTTTGCGTGAAATTCAACTAACAGAAAAACAAATTTTATGAGATTGATCATTACTGGCTAATCTAATATAGATAACTTTCCCAGATTTTTAGCTTATGAAAATGGGAGGGTGAGGAAGATTTTGTTTATTGTTAAGCAAAAAGCTACGCAACAGGCTATCTATGCTTTTGTCACAGCAGGTATCGAAATCAGATTTTTAGCGATATAAGCCATCTGACTTCCCAGTAAGCCACCGAGGGAAGGCAAGGGTTTAGTTTAGGTTCTAAAGATCTATCTGTGTACCAAATTTGAAAAATATGTTAAGTATGTTTTTCTATCAAATAAATTTTCCGTACTTTCGGTGCGAAGAAAAAAAAGTAAAAATTAAATCAAAATTGGAGAATATATACCTCGTGTACTTTTAACGGATTGCATTGACATTTGGTATGTGAAGTATAAGTCCAGTAGAGCACATCCACTGAAAATATGTGATAGTTTGGATTACCACAGTCCGAGATACAAAAGGTGGAAAATCGCTAAACTATCACCCCTGCTAATAATACACAGTGTGTCCTGCAGGTTGTTTTGGCTGCACGACAGTACACAATGGTGTGCCTTGATTTAGTCTACACATTGCAATATGTAAAATGTAAGTGGCAACCATTTTTTTTAAATATGTGACCTCTAACTAAATATTAAAAGTACATATATTCCAATTATTTTTATCATGTGTTCTCAAGTGTGACAATGATATACTTTGTATAGTACATTGTAAAATATGAAAACCAGAACATTTTTCTTACCTTTTTATTTAATGGCTCATTACAAGAAACAGGTTGGTAAATTTTTTTATTAGGGACTTAAAAAATTTGTCCCAGAACAAATTATTTCTGCTTATATATATATATATATATTTCTTATTACACTTTACATTAGTTTCAAGAATTAAAATGTTACTTAATAAGCCTGCGGTGATATTGTGAGGTTCGTGACATACTAGCAACAACTGGAGCGTTTGAGGGGTTACCGTAACACACCCTTTCGTAAATTAAGTATATGTGAGACCCTGGGGCACACATTGACCGCCTTTTTGTAACTATTGTTCTCGCATGATAACGTTCCCTTGAGCTCTGCTCACGGTAGTTTATCCAGACTCGTGGGCTGCTCTGTTACGAGCGGTGCAGGAGACTCTCATGGCAGGAATCATGTAGCAACGTTCGCCCTAAGAAACCACTGAAAATGTCACAATTTTACATATTTTGTGAGATATATTGATATAGTTAGTTACAGGTCGGATCTTCGATGGGTCAGTTTCAAGAATGGTAAGTCAGCATAGTTTTTTTTTTACTTATTTCAACACGAACCTAAGTGTAACGTGTTTCCAGTGTACAGGTTTATATTGTCTTGTAGCTTAAATACTTACTGTAGGCTGCAGTTTGAATGAAATAGTTGAAGGCGAGATTATCAAAACTTCATTTTCACTATTTGTTTTTTGATGGAAAATCTGTTATACAGTCAACGATTAATTATTTTAATAATAATAATTAACCTAGACAAAACTAGGAATCTTGTCAAAGCCTTAGGGTCAGAATAATGTTTTGTTAAAATATACGCACATTATATATTGTTTTTCATTAAAAGTTGAACCTTACCAGTCGTATTTTGTAATATGGCCAAATTAGAAAATTAAAGTTTTGTATATGTTGTAAGTGTTTAAAACTATAATGAGTTATTTTTGACATGTTGTTGTAACTTGCGTATGACTGCTTATGTGGCGTTAACCACAGTAAAGTTAACCATTTATCAGCTCTTTTCTTGTTTGCATGCGTCCCAAGTGAGTTTCTTACTTTGCTGCCATCTAGTGTATTAAATGACGATTACATTTTTCATATAATATTTTTAAAGGTTTGGTATGTAAAATAACTAAATTCAAAATAACATTATTTACAATGATCTTTAACATAACACGATGGAAATCTTCAAAGTTAAGTTGCTACTTTTATTCAGACAAGATGGTTTTCTTTTTCTCCAGGTTATTGAACAAAGGTAAAATAAATTTATATCAAAAACTCTTCATCTGTTGCCAGTATTAAATCGCCATCATCAACCTGACAGTGCCGAAATTGTATTGTTAAAACGTTTTGTTTCAGTATATTTATTTTACTACGATCCTTATGTAGTAGTTTAAAAAAAAGGGGGTAGGGTATAAGTACCTTATTTACACTGTACTATATTTTTAGCAGGCTGCTGCTACATTCTTCGTAATGAGGTTGGCATAAATGTATTAAGAAGTTAAATGAAAATTTTGTATGGTTTGTTTCCCATAATATTTTAACATACAGGTGAATTTTGGAAATTTGCTGTGCAACCAAACGATCTATTAAATCAGCCCAATAGTAATATCTAAATTCGTAAACGATTTGTAACTTTTCTAACATAAATACTGAATTAAAGTATACGAACTCACCCAGTGTTAGACTGAAATTAACCTAAAGTCCCGTGAATGTTTGTGCGCCATGCTTGATTGTACATTTTGGTTCTTTCCTGTTGACTGATGATGCGTCATTTGAACTTTTTTATTATTATTATTCGTGACTTGTTTATTGAAGTATAATATTTATTTATAATTTATATGTATAAACTCCAGATACATCTTTGATTCCTTAACGTTATCACATACCAAATAACTAGCAGCAAAAACTTTAATGTTTTTATTTTATCTTTCTTTAGTTGTTTGAACCTAAACGTTTAAACTACTCCACGAGATGTCACCTTATTTACTAACTTGTAGTACTTTTACTTGTTATATTTTGTGTTTTAGAAGTTTTGTTACTTATTTAACACGTCATCTGGGTAGTAGAAAGTTTTAAATTTTATCATAGTTCGTATTTTTGTTGGGTTATTTATATTTTATTTTTATTGCTGAATAACACGTCTTACCATCGTTTGCCTTTTATTGGTTGTATACTTCTTTGAGTTCATAGAGTGCACATTGCTAGCTAATAATTTAGCATAGATTTAGTAATTGTAGAGTTTTCAATTTCAGGTGAAAGGTTTGTTTTTTTATATAGGTTTTTACGCATTTGACATTTGCAGTAACCGAAGCTAGAGAAGCGATGAAGTAATTATAATATAATTATGATTGTCATAATACATTAGTTTTAGGCCTATTATATTTTTAAATACGATGAATATAGATATGACGATTATAGTGTGGTTGAAATATTATTATTCACTATTCTAATTCTTAAATCCTTAAGGGACTGGATGAAGAATGCAGTGTTTAAAATATATATTCGGCCTAATACTAGTGTGTTATGAGGATTAGGGTTATAATTATGCTTCACCAGCTTGTAAAAGGCGTTCACATCACAATACTTAAAACATAACCTAATAGCGCTGTTACAGTTTGAAATTGAAAAATTATGTCGAATTTATATATGAAAACGTTTTGCGGTAGATGGCGCGCTGGAGACCATTGTTAGGCAGGAACTAACACTAGGTCACTGCGATTGAGATTTTTTTGTGCGCTTAAGTAGTAACCAAGAAATATAATCAACAATTCAAACATGCAATGACAAAAGTGGCATTGTTGATAAGGGTAACGGATATGGCCCTTAAGTGGAACGATCACGTGAGGCAGTTACAAGGGTGGTGATTTTATTTACATTCTTCTGAGCGTCAAAATTGTTGCAATTCTTTATAAAATAGGTGTAGCCAAACCTTAGGATTTTGGAACAACTTTGTTCAATACACACTAGCTATTTCAGCTCGTCGTAGTGTGCATTTTTTATTTAAGTCATTCGCACGCTATATAAAATCGGGCGCTATTACTAACTAAACTGAAGGGTTAATCCACTAGCTACAGTTAGGAAAACACTTCTTAACTGCTCAAAGTTTCAAGTTATTACACTCCGTTCCTTTTACAGGCATGAAGTGTTTCTTGTCCTATATCAAAGTTGGACACACCATTTGTTATCCTGACACCTGCAGTTCAAAAAAGACGTGACGAACAAGCATTCAATATATATATATACACATATGAACACAACAAAAAACAATGCATTATAAGATTTGCCTCTTTAGTCGATAGTAATTTCACTACTTTTAACTTCGTAAATATCATACCTAAAAGCTGTAACTAAAAGTATCTAGATTTCAGAAAATGCAACTGGTTAAATCTACTTTATGCAATTTAAATATGCAGAGCATATTAAGAGTAAATAGTTGTGTTACGTCCTTTTTTTTTTTTGTAAACTCGAAACAAAACGTAACTTTACCAATATCTTGTATTCCAATAGTTTTGTTCATTATTTTACGGCTGTTACTACTTTTTTACACTTTATCATTGTGCTTACACGTGTTAGTAAAAATTGGATACTATAGCGCATGCGTATCTGTGAACCAAGTGTGCTCCACTTGTACGGGATCTGGTTAGTTTACCAGAGGTCTGATGTGTTACACCATTAGATGCACTTGTTAACTTGCATGTCAGTCATATTTGCCCAGTGTAAAAATGGAACACGTGCCAGTCGCAACCAGATATAATGTCGGTTCTTTATTTGGTGCATCGATTTTATGCCAGAAACGAGAATTAAAATATGTAGCGTACTTCTAGGTACAGGTTAACATTTGCAACACCTGAGTTCTATGAAACGACGACAGGTGGTAAAGAGTAAAGGCTTCACAAAGCTTTCATTGGAATTTTTGATTTCACATAATATGTATCACCCCTAAATTCAGCGGTTTTGTACATAAAATAATCTCAAGTTGATTTGGCAGGTGCAAAATAATTTTTGTTAAATAGGTATGTGTTAAAAATGATAGCATTCTTTCGTCGTAGACTGTCCCTTTCAAGGTAAGTGTTAACTTTATACTCATTTGTTTTTATGTAGTATGTAGTTTACTAAATCAAGCGGAATAACAGGCTTGACTCTAATAATAAAATTAATTAGATCCCAGACTTTAGGCCAAGTAATAATAATAAAAAAAATCGTTTAGCACCCGGAGTCTTCGAAAAAAGGAAAAAAGGAGGTCCTCCCCCTTTTTTTTAAAGACCTTTCAAAGAAAGTTTGTACCATTTCTTTCATGATTATTGCTTGTTTTCAAAGGGTCCATGCCAAACAGAAGTCATCTTTGTTTCATTTTTTTCATCCAAACTATACGGAATTTATGACAAACAAAGAAAGGGCAAAATGAATTGGCTGTGTTTATCTCATTTTTTTTTTATTCAGAAGTTTTCTTTGTTTATTTGTATGATTGAAAAATGATAATTCAAAAAAAAAGTAAGAAAATCACACAAAAGTGCGGGAGGCGGCTACAAAAAAGGAAGCGGACAGGGAGCTAAACATGTAATTTTTTATTTTTGTTTTACTTGGCCTAAATTTGACGTACAAGTTCATAAAGTGTTTGAAATTTCATGCAGTTATCTCTTTCTGAAGGTACTTGTATCTCGAGGTTTTATAATTATACTAGCCATGTCATGTTCATTTTCCTTTTTTTTTTGTTTGTTTGTTGTTTTTTTTGTTTTTTTTTGCAGTATTTAATAAACTATTTACTGATGTCCAACAATATAGGATTCAGTATTAATTTGCGATTATTCCCTTAACTACACTCAAGTTAAAGATACATTAAATGACTTACCTTTTTTTTTCTTTTTAGGCTCAATTAATGGGTTTGTACAGTTTGAAGAATACTAAGTATCTGCTCTAACTAGGGGGATTGGTATTCTTAAGGTTAAGAAAGGTTAACGAAAACAACGGCACATTTCTACCGTGTGTATAGAGAAAAGTAAAAAAAAAAAAGTTGCGTTTACAGTATCGTGCCGTAAGAAACCACAGTATTGTTATGTTTCCACACCATTACTCTATATGGTAAAGTATAGAAGGCAGTAGATATATATAACTTGCTACTGGCGATAGACCATCGGCATACGAGGGACGAGCGAAACTGTAAATTGTCTTGGATGTTCAGCAAAGCCTTAACTGATGTGAATTTGTTCTTATACTTGTACCGGTTAAACTCTCAGACGTGTTATTTAGATATTTGTGTGCTATTGTAATTTTAGCGTAGGTAACATTGTAACTAATGTTATTTTAGCAACCATTTTCATTCCACGGACAAAATATTCTTAAAAAGATTTCGAACTGTTAAGACTATGTCCTTGACCTATATTGACAAGAAATACACGTGTCGATAGTTATACGCAAGGTTGAAAGGATTTAATATTCTAATATGAATATTTTTTAAAGAAATAGCTAAAAGCATTTTTAGTTAATATTATACATACATAATAGTATTTATATATGTATTTTTTAAGATAGGGGCGTCAGAAGCTTCTGGGTTTTATACTTTAATGATACCGAACTTTATCAAAATAAAGTTTAGTGGTTGCCATGGTGTGTTTGGTGTACTCAGGTGAAACTTGTTCTATTATAGAGATTAACTGGATAAGTCTGCCTAATAATAACAGGAGGTTCGATAGGAAATTCATCGCAGAACAATGCTGAATTAATATCGACTGCGTTTAAGTCTAAGAATAACAGACTGGGCACAATGTGCAATACATTAACAACACTATTTACTAAACCCAAGACTTGCTACTTATCATTTTCTCTTCTACCGTGTCAGAATCTAAAGTCAAATAGAACCAGGGGCGAAATTCTCTAAATAAAAGTAGAGGTACTCAGCTGGGTGACATAGACCTGTTTTTGGAAAAGGAAAAACAATTAAGTGTAAACACAAAAAACGACAAAGCAGCTCAAACAAGTCCCGATATTAGTAGCGCCTTAAAAATAAGTTCCGGTACTCAGTACTGGCGAGTACTGGCAGAACTTCACTCCCGAACAGAACTGTCTAGAAACGCCGTTGTTAGCTTAAAACCGACCTTTCGACATTTGGCGATTTCGCCCAACTGGCATTCTCCCTGGTGAAGAGAGTGAAACCAAATATGACAGGGAAAGGCGAGCTGTTTCGGAGAAAATCTTAACTGTCTTTTGGGTCATCCTTTTGTTGTTGTTGTTAACTTTCACATATTCAGAATTAAATAATAAATTTAGAATCAATATTAGTACTACAGAAAGAAAACTTGTGGTATATTCCTGTGATTGTGTATTAAACTTCACAAATGCGTATTTTTACGTAATTAATGTCGTTGGTGAAGTTCACTGGATTCGGGACCACTACTTATACGAACTCTATTTCGGTGTATAGGCCACAAGATAAAGAATATCCTATATCATCAAACCTATGAAAACGTTTATTTGTGTATTCATTCTTTATTTTTGGTTAAACTAAGCAAGAAACGCCGTTTGAAAATTATAAATTATTGATCATTTTTTAAAACTAATTCTATGCGTACAATATATATATATATATACTCTTTGGTGTGCGAACGTGACAGCGATGATTT